GCACAGGGGCACACCTGCACACCAAGGAAGGAGGAAGAATACCACTGCCAGGAGCTGGCACTGAGTAGGGGTCGGGGTCCAGGTAAGTGGGGGTAAATCATGCGCTCTTACTCTGGGGTTGAGATGTCTAATGAAACGTCGAAGTCAGGGTCAGGTATTCAGAAGGCAGCCTCCGGTGAGGCTGAGCAGTCTCTAGAGGAAGGAAGATGGAAGAGGCTGGGAAGAGAGAGTTTGGCCTCAGGGAGGGAATGGCAAAAGACAGGGGGGCTTACTAGCTTAGTTAACAGAAGGCTGTGAAAGTGATGAGGCTCAGAAAGCCAAGAAGCACAGAGACTTTCCAGGCACTTCCTCGTCACAAACAAGAAGAGAAAGGGTCCAAGAAAGGGCAGGTGGTGCCAGCCAGGCTCCCTCCGTGGGCTCCCAGCTGGGATCTGGGAAAGGAGAAAGGGAGAATGGAGAAAGGAAGCAGCCAAAGGGCCCCAACTGAGGGTTGGCGCTTTGCAAGGAAATAAATCATTTAGGGTAGGAGATTCTGAAGTTTAAAACCTACAAATAAACAGTTTTGACCTGCTGTCCCAGGAGCAAAGAAAATCCTTCCTCAATGACTCATGCTAGCCCCTTTCTCTGGAGCTCTGGGCTAGGTTCATGGGGGTCCGGGGAAATAGGAGAGAGAGTTACTGCTCACCTGGAAGTCTCCTTCCAACCTGTTGACCTCAGAACCCTGATGTGCCCTGGGGAGAAGAGCGTGTAGCGGGTGGGGGCACGCTCAGGGTTGCCTGCCTGGATGGCATCTGATCAGTGGTGGTTGAGATTTGATTATCTTGTAGCACAGACGGTGAGAAATCATAGCCATGACAGTTGGTGAAGCGCCACGCAAACACACAGCCTATCTGGTAACAGCAGAAGGGAGTGCGCGGGGGAATGCCGCAGTGACAGAGTGCTGATCAATCAGGAGTTGGGAAGGGAGTCAGTCTGGGCCTCGGTGGGGACGAAAATGTTCTGGAGGAGTTGGGGCAGGTGAGGTGCCCTGGAGAATGGCAGGATTAGGTGAGGTGGCGCGGATGAAAAGAAGGAACTTTCTGGGTAGGTATCCAGCATGGACCACAGCTTCTGGGCAGGACTGGTCATGGGTGTTCAGAGATGAGGTCAAGCAGGAAGACCTACTGCTCTCAGCCACCTTAGTGCCCAGCCTCCCTCCTGCTCGTTGGCTTGACTTTTTGGTCATTTCAGAGCAAGAATGAGCTTGGGAAGAATGGAGAGCCTCGTGGCCCAGAATGAGGCAGGGAGGCATGGCTACAGAAGGAGACAGAAATCATCCTATAGCTGACTGGATGGAACTGGTGGTTCCATGGTCTCCATAGGTATCAGGCTCTCCCTGGCATCAGCTGGCCTGAAATAGCAACACCTGCTTCTTCAGCCTCTTTCCTTCAAAGGTGACATGTTCAGACAGGCTCTACCAGGCATGCAGGGCTGAGGGAACCTGTGCGCAGCAGTCCTCGGACTCTCTGAAGGCCAAAGTATCAACAGTGAGGACACAAGGTCTTTGCACATCACTCAAGGTCACATAGAAGGGATTCAAACTTGGGCTGGAGTGCAGCCGGAAGTCTGGGTTGCCTGTGCTCACTGCCATTCACCGTCTGTGACTCTGCTTCTGAAGAGTTGTCCTTTTGTCCCTCTGGGATTGTCAACTGACATTCATATAGAGATACAGTGTGGCTGAGTTACCAATGATTTATGCTACAAAAAACAAACTGGTCCAACCTCATCTCTGGTAAGTCCTCAGTCTCAAATGAAATAAACAGCATGTGGATTTTCCCTGTTGTGTCTCTGAGGTATGAGTCAGCAATGGGGCTTAGTGCCTAAGTAAGTTGTGTATGGATGAGAAGGACAGGGCTGCCTAGTCCCTGTTTGAGTGCCTGCTGGCACCTAAAGGCCTCCCAGCTCAGGTAAGAGCCTCCCTGATCACGAAGGGAGCTGGGAGATTTGTTGAGCTACTCAAGCCCCCAAGACCTGGCCACTACCTGTGTGAGAATTGTTTAGCCCCTATACACGGGCCTCCTCACTGTTGGCTCTTGCAGAAAAGAGTGGCTTTTGATAACTGGGAAGCTCTTCCTGCTCTTATCCTATGGGCCTCCACATCGTGTGGTCCTGAACTAGGAAGTCATTTCAGGGTGGCTGACTCAGCAATGATCCTTCAGAGCCATCACCCTTGAGGGGTGCCAGCCTGTACCCAGAAGGGCTTCTGTCTGGGGCTGCCTCATGTCAGGGCCTCTTGAGAACTGGATTTACAGACGTACGACCTGGTGGCCTGCTCTGTCTGCACTGGTCACAAGGGACAGAAAGGCTGAACAGTGACAGAACAGTTTACAATCTCATCAATGAATAATATGGAGCTGGGGACAAAGTCCCCTCTGCTTTCTGGGGCTGTCACTGAACTGTCAGCAGTGGAGGGAAAACCCGAAGTGAAAACCTCTCACTGATAGGTGCTGTCAGTGTGGAAGGAGCTCAAGTTTCAGCACTGGGGTGGGGTGGGGGCTGCACTCCTACCTATTCACCCTGCTTTTCTCTGGGCTGCTCCACTCCCATGATTACTGGGAATTTATCCTACAATAGGCCACAAGCTCCTTGTTCTGCAGTAGGAAATTCTTCACAAGAGGCCGACTGTTAGTGTTGTCTGTTTGTTTTTTAATTTCCAAAAATAAGAAGTTTATTCAATAAGAGTGGGGAAGGAAGGAGGGAGAAGGAGAGCAAAATGGCCCCAGAGGTGGCTAAGCCAGGCACTTCCCAAGTCTTCCCTTGGCTTCTCCCATCCCCCTTGTCCCAGACCCCCCTCCTCCTGGTTCTGAATGTGAAAAATAAGCAGCCTGCACCTCCTTGACTGGAGATGTGTCTAACAAGGCCCTCATTGTCTCAGACAGGTGTGAGATTGGACTTGATTCAGGGCCAACACCTCCAGTACCGGAGCCAGCTCTGTGAGCCGAAAACATGCACCAGCCCTCCAGTAATACCACTGCAGCCAGCCAGAGACTCAACAATTTAGGGCTTAACACACACAACATAAATCAGAGGAGGATGGACCAGCCGACCGGCAGCTTCTTGGGCAGATGCCTGCAGACTGTCTGCAGATCATACCCTGCCTGTTTGGGTTATTTGAGACTCTTTTTTCTGTAATATAAAGATGGGAAACTGGGTGGAGCAGCGTGCAGAGGCACACGGGTGTTTGTCCTGTCTTGTTCCAACAGCCCCTCTTTTGCCTAAGTGTTGTTTTGAAGGGACTGCTCAGGACGGTTCACATTGCCACATCCAAATGCCAGGAATGTGTCCAAGCTGGGGAGGATGGGCAAAGGAAAGCTGAGCGCTCCAATATGGGCAGCATCTATGTGACCCTGGGCAAGTCTCTTTACCTCTCTGAGCTCATCTATTTAACGAGGGGTCTCGTTTTCTACCATTCACTCATCTCTAATGCTCAGAAGTTCAAAGTCATTGTAAGAAGTGCCCAAGTCAGAAAAGGTCATTACCCTTGGGAGGAAACTCACAGCGCCACTGAATGCTGTTTCTGAGGGGATCCATGTCTTTGAGCAAGAAAAGTCTCTCCTCCTCATTTCTGTTCTTTAGAAACTTGTGGTTCTCAGACTGCTGAGGCAAGCCCTGAAGCTCGAGCCCCCAGGAGTGTGGTCACAACACGGCAAGAGCCGCATCCTGTGGGAGGGAAGATGGAGATGACAGGTCTGCACTGCTAGTTACTGCCATGCTCCAGTCCCTAAGTCTCATAATCAATTCTTAGATACGTTTCATTGAGGAGGGAGGATCACAAGCCTTTGCTAAGTCACCAAGTCTTAGTAAAGGGAGGGGGCCCAAAAGCCACCCATCAATGCAGGAGCTTCTGCTCTGAGGCCTCTGAGAGAAGGGCATTTGGTCTCTGCAAATTCCTGTGACATTCCAGGTTAGCTTTTGGCCCTGCCATTCGTCATCCTGACCCTGAATTCATGGACAAGGACATGGCCGTCACAGGGACGCCTTCATCTGGTCTCAGCTCAGTCCCTCTCATAGCCATGCACTCTGTCGGGAACAACTGGCATGAAGTTGGCAGTGGCGTCCTGAACTGGGATGACAGCACCATCAGTCAGCACCAGCCTCCTGCCCCTCCCGGCCTCGGCCTGCCAAAGCGGCCTCGCATTCCCACAGCTGTGGCTTCAGCCTCTGCCCCGTCACACTCGCACACCTGTTTGCCGCCCTGCTTCTGGCCCACCAGCCCAAGCCACAGCCCCAAGCAGGCTTAAAAGGCTGGGCTTGTGGGAGGAATCTGCACAGGGAGGTATTTACTTAAAATCACACAGGAAGGTGAAACTCGGTTAAAAGATATCCTTTTGTAGCTGCTTCATTAAAAACACCAAAGAGGCTGACCATTCACATTGTTGAATGTGTCCAATTCATGCAAATAACAGGACAGGTCAGGATTCACCCTTGCCTGCTGCCCATGTGGGCTTTGGGCTCAGGGAGTGACCTGTCAGGCTACTGCAGCTGGTTGTCCCCCACAGGAAGCAGGGCTAGGGTTCTGGGTGGGGCTGAGGAGGGTGTGTGGCTTTGAGAAGGGCATCCCTTCCTTGCTGGGTGGGGCAGAGGAGGGTGGGCATGGCTTTGAGGAAGACATCCCTTCCTTGGTGGTGGGGCAGAGGGTGGTGGGTGTGGCTTTGAGGAGGACATCCTTGCTTACTTGAAGAATCCCTCCTCCAGCCAGGGGTGGTGGCTCACGCCTGTAATCCCAGCACTTTGGGAGGCCGAGGTAGGTGGATCACCTGCAGTCAGGAGTTTGAGACCAGCCTGGCCAGCATGGTGATACCCCATCTGTACTAAAAATACACAAAAAATTAGCCAGGTGTGGTGGTGGACTCTGTAATTCACTCTGAAATCCCAGTTACTCAGGATGCTCATGCAGGAGAATTGCTTGAACCTGGGAGGTGGAGGCTGCAGTTAGCCTGGAAGACAAGAGAAAAACATTGAAAAAAAAAAAAAAAAAAAAAAAACAACCAGAATCACTCCTTAGCATGAATTCAACATTTTAAAAGTGGAGACTCGGAAGCAGCATATGATATTGAACCCAACCACGGGGATCTAGCATCTCTCTGAGACGGTGTATTTCTAGAAAAACGCAATGTGAGGCACAGCATGGTTCAGTGCCCAAGTGAATGATGCACACCAACCCCAGAGACTTTGTTTCTAGGCTACCTTCGAGGCAGAACCACAACCAGCCAATGGGAAGAGCACTGGGCCAGAAGCCCAAAAACCTGGATGTTAGGTCTGCCTCTAATTGGGACAATCACTGGAATTCCCTGGGCCTCAAGTGTCTCATGAGTAAAATACAGGGCTTTGAGCAAAGAAGTTTAAGGTCCTGTAATAGTTTACCATTTGGTCTTGTGCAGCAGTGGTTATGGGAAGTTCTCCTGTTTGAGTTTATCCAAGGAAACAAAACTCAAATGAAAATACCACTATAACTGCCACTAGGTTTGTCCACTCTGGGGCTATAATCACTCCTGAGTAAGAAGGAGACACCAGGGGGAATTATCGCAGAGTAAATGTGTGACTCAGAGAAGACCGATGGGTACAATTACCTGGTGATACACCAGTGCCACCAATGAGGGCACACAGATAGCAATGAGAGTAAAAAGAATAACACTGACCATTTATTAAGTATTGACAGAGTACCAGGATCCATGCTAAATATTTGTTAAAAATATATCTCAATCCTTGGGATGACTTTGTGAAGGATTAATAAGTAACACAGTGCTTCCCATGTGCTGCGCATCAAGCTAACTCATTTAATCCTCACAGTGCTCCCATGAGTTAGGAGCTATCATTGCTACGACAGTTTGCAGAGGGGGAGCAGTGTCACAGAGGAATTACAGACCCACGTTCTGCCTTACTCATCAAGCCCATTCTGCAGGCTGCCATGTTTCTTCTGAGTCCTTTCTGAGGATGAGATGGAAAGGGTCGCTCTATCCTGCCTGGGGAGAGGGATGGACAGAAGAACTGACTTCTGCCTCCACATCTCCAGGATGCTGTGTCTTCCTCTGAGGGAGCCATGAGTGACCAGGGAGAAAGTTCGAAAATAAGAACAATTTTTTTATAGAGCTGCGAATGCATTCCCCTCCCCTACCCCAAGGCGTGAAAGAATCAAATGAGGAAATCGGGAAGAGATTCTGGCATAGGAATAACAAGATTTCCCTTCCCTTCCACATGAATTGGCCATCAGTAATTTTGCAGAAATTCAATTTCGAAGTCATGCTTCGTAATTTGTGGTAAATCATATTAAATTAAACAGATCCATGTCTGGGCAATGACTTCTCTCATTTAGGAACATATGGTGGCTCAGAGCCTCTCACACAGCAAAACTATAAATGCTTCTTCTAAAACAGCAGCAGAGTGAGGGACTCTGGGGCAGCCCTACTGGTTTTCCTGAGAATGTTCATTAGGGGTGACTATTCATTCATGGGAACTGTAGTATCCAGAATGACAGAATGTTAGTGTTTAAGACAACTCGGTTAATCACTTACATGACAGATGAGGGTCTGGAACTTGGTGGTAAAGGAAACAGTGCCCAGTCACATGAAAACAGAGCAGGCACCACAGGCAGGACCTTCCGGGCAATGCTCCACCTAACCATGTCATGCACCTACAGGTGATTGGCGGTGGGGATTCAATGAACCAACACCATTGGTCTGTTCTATAAATATGAGCTATCATTATTTTATGACTCCCTTTGGCAAACATATGAACTAGGCAATCTCCTTGTCATAATCTTGCTGTCTTAGCTGCTCTATGATAACCCAGGTATAGACACAATCACAAACAAAGACTACCATTTTAAAATGGGAAAGTGGGTGAGTCTAATGCTTCAAAAGCTTCTGCATTCATCTTTAAGATACCAGTCTTCCTGGACAACCAAAAGAAGCACGTCTTAAAACTCAGGCAATTTTTATGGTTGTTCCACACAGTGGGTGATTTACAACAAAGTACAGATGAAGATTAACCGGCCTTGAGATGAGAGAGCTAAATAAACCACTTAACGGGCAGAAAGGCCATGTCGAGCCCTTGAGCTTGTGCTGACTTTTACAGATATTTAAATAACTTTATCATTATACAATTTGCCATCTGATATGTGCAGAGAGATGCACTAATGGAGTGAGAGTGGCCACAACAGTGTAATAATCCCATGAGACTTCATAAAACCACCGTGTTCGCTTCCCTCATATGACCTGCAACTCCAGGAAGTGCCATCCCTAATCATGTGATTTCTTCCTCCCTTTTCATCTTGAGATGTTCTTTAAAAAAACCCCAAAGCAAGTGTACATATGTAGTCCTTCTAGTGATGTAAGGAGGAACCGGCACAGCATAAGCTCTCTGGGTCCTGGATCTGGCTTTGGAATGACTCAGGTTGAACATACAAAGCCGTAAGGTAAAGAGGACATCATCCATAGCAGGAACTGGCAATTTACAGGGCTGGAAGACTTAACTGTCCCAGACAAGAGAGCTCCTGACACCCAAGCTAGCACTGACTCAGCGGGGGCCTTGAGGCCTGACTCACAGGTCTTCCCTAGAGATGCTTTGCTTTTATGACACCAACTGAAGGATCCTACAATGTCCTCCATACTTCCAGGAGGATTGAGCTGGCCGCTACAATGGCCCGAGTCTTATTAAACAGAACTGACCATGTTGACTTACGGAGGCTCAGATGACCCAATTCAGATTGGGTGGAAGAACCAGGACAGTTGAAAAATTAAGCACCATTTCCATTTCTGGTGGTTTTTCTTTTGAGATGGAGTTTCACTCTTGTTGCCCAGGCTGGAGTGCAGTGGTGCGATCTTGGCTTGCTGCAACCTCTGCTTCCCAGGCGCAAGAGATTCTCCTGCCTCAGCCTTCCAAATAGCTGGGATTACAGGCACTCACCACTACACCCAGCTAATTTTTGTATTTTTAGTAGCGACCTCGCCATGTTGGCCAGGCTGGTCTTGAACTCCTGACCTCAGGTGATCCACCTGCCTCAATATCCCAAAGTGCTGGGATTATAGGCATAAGCCACCGTGCCCGGCCCCTGGCCTGTTTTAAAGCTCAAGTTTCATGCCACCCAATAGCGGTTAGGTGACATGAGACTCACAAGTCAGGAACGCCATCTCCTCTTCCCTCTGCCCACACTAATTTCCTCTGGGAAAGAAAGTAGGGAATTTCCTCTTTAAGAAAAAGAATCCCCTTCCAAAAAGGTTAGTTAATTCCCATAATAGGATTTATAGAGATCAGAATTGGAAGATGCTTTTTACAATCTTGAAACCCTATTTAGAAAGTTCTAAACCCTAAACATGACCCTAAAGTCATATGGAATATTGATGGTACCAGGACAGTGGTACTTCATCCTGAGTCTGGAGGAAGTGGCTGTCTTTTCTGTCCAATCTGTCCTAGGCATGATTCAGCCAAACATTTAGTGCCACTATTCTGTTTTCTCTTAAAAATACTTGTTTCTTTAAAACAGAAAATGGTCTGTTCCATGCCATTTAGGGGAGCGTGAACCAGCTAAAACTCCACCTGAAGACTTTCCATAGCTGGCAAATCAGAAATCACCTGAATAAGAGGTGGTACATTCTTTCCCTATCAATTCTCAGGAGTGCACAGAGAGACGAAAATAAACATGATTGACCCATGTTTGTTTTTAGGGCGAGTTCTATACTATTTTTCTGTTATTATTTTGCTTTATTTACTGTGGTTGGTAACCGAATCTCTAACATCAAAACATAAGATGTTCTGCCAGAAAGAGATTACAGAAGAAAAGTCTATGAAAAGAAACTGGGTTTGTCAGTGAAGATTTTATTTACAGGAGTTTTGCAATTGGTATCTTTAATCTCCATAACAATTGGCCTATTCTACTGCTTTGAAGGCAATTGTTCAATAACGAGAAATTCCCTGTGAGGCCAAGGCTTGGAAGGAGAAATGTGACTGGGCTAGTGACAATTGAGGCAAGTGAAACCCTCTGCTTCTATAGATCTCCCCTAAAAGTCAGGGTGCAGTGTTCTGAGGGCCACAGGGAAATAAGCAAAGACAGAGGTAATTAAAGCCCTTCAGCATCATTTAAATCACAAATGCTGGATTTTAAAGAGCTCTCCAATAACTGAATTCGAGCAGGCCTGAATTTATGTTCCATAAGGCAAGGAAAAATCATGCAGGTGAGTAAAACCAACTCAGTCTGGAGAACTATGCCTAATAAGAAAACCCAAGGAGTAACTTTCTAAGAACACAAAAAGTAGCTTTCTAAGTACAGTTGCTTTTCATATCAGCATATATTGTTTGTTCTCTCTCAATACAAACTTTTGGTAAACTTTGATACTACCTCATGACTACAGTAAAACTTTCTTTTTTAAATATCCAAATTTGAAAGTCTATCTTCAGGTGATTTGTAAATCACTCTCCTTTTGAAATGGGTGTGTGAAATGGCAATAAAGTCACTTTTTAAAAAGGCAGCTTGCTTCAAAACCACATGCCTGGCTTTGGGAGGTCAAATTCTTGAGTCCAACCCAACTGGCTGGCTTTGGTCATCATGTCATCTTCTGTTCCCATCTTTCTGTTCCTACCATCTAAGCTGTCATGAGCTGTGGGAGGCTAGGGCAAGAGGCACCTGGGCCTTCTGTTTCCCTGTCTGGCACTGTTCCCTGGACACAGGGAAGAATGCTCTTTCTCTATCACTGTCAGACCTCTGGTTCCATCTGCATAGGTGCTCTAGAAAATATTAAGAAATACCCGATCTCGGCCGGGCGCGGTGGCTCAAGCCTGTAATCCCAGCACTGTGGGAGGCCAAGGCGGGTGGATCACGAGGTCAAGAGATCGAGACCATTCTGGTCAACATGGTGAAACCCCGTCTCTACTAAAAATACAAAAAAAATTAGCTGGGCATGGTGGCACATGCCTGTAATCCCAGCTACTCAGGAGGCTGAGGCAGGAGAATTGCCTGAACCCGGGAGGCGGAGGTTGCGGTGAGCCGAGATCGCGCCATTGCACTCCAGCCTGGGTAACAAAAGCGAAACCCCGTCTCAAAAAAAAAAAAAAAGAAAAAAAAAACCCAATCTCGTCTAGAAAAAAAAATCATACATTCTTCTGGCTGGGAAGTAAAAGTACCATGATGTTGGGTTTAAACAAATGATGGACTGAGGTTATAGTAACATGATTGGGGCATTCATGCATGAGATGTTGAGTTTACATTTACCTGTCCACTGTGTTTGTTTTGGGGGATGGACTTGGGAGAGTTATCTCTGGTCTCACCTACTGTCCCTGGTCAATGGTCCGATATCCCCTATCCTTTGTACAAAGATACAGTAGTTTGGATGGTGGCTCCAGAAAAGATATGTCCATTTCCTGACCCCCAGAACTGTGAATGTGACGTTACATGGTAAAAGGGCCTTTGAAGCTATAATTAACTGAAGGATCTTGAGTTCATCATGAATTATCTGGGTGGGCCTCAGTAAGAGACAGAAGAGGAGATGACACAAAGGAGGCCATATAAAGAGGGAAGAAAATGTTGGAATGATACAGCCTGATACAGTCACAAGCCAAGGAATGTCACCAATGGCTGGAAGAGACAAGGAAGTATCCTCCCCTACAGCCTTCAGAGAAAGTATGGTCTTGCCAACACTTTGATTTTGCACTTCTGGCCACCAGAACTAGGAGAGAATACATTTCTGTTGTTTGAAGCCACCAAATTTGTGGTTATTTGTTAAAACAGCCACAGGAAACTAATATACTTGTGCTGTGGTTTGATTGTGTCCCTCAAAAGTTCACATGTTGGAAACTTGGATGCCACTGCGATGTTGTTGAGTGATGGGGCCTTTGCAGGGAGCAAATGGGTCATGAGGATCTGCCCTCATAAATGGATTAATGCCATAATCACACAAATGGGTTATCGCTGAAGTGCCTTTGTTATAAAAGCAAGCTGTCTCTTGCACACATTTCCTTGTGCCCCTTGCTTTCTGCCATGGGTTAATGCAGCAAGGACCTCACCAGATGCCAACACCATGCTCTTAGACTTTCTAGCCTCCAGAACCATAGGAAATAAATTTCTTTTCTTTCTTTTTTTTTTTTTTTTTTTGAGACAGAGTCTCTCTCTGCCATCCAGGCTGGAGTGCAGTAGTGTGATGATCTCAGCTCACTGCAACCTCCACCCCCCGGCTCAAGTAACTCTTCTGCCTCAGCCTCCTGAGTAGCTAGGACTCAGGTGTGTGCCACCATGCCCAGGTAAACTTTTCTGTGTTTTTAGTAGAGATGGGGGTTTCACCATGTTGGCCAGGCTGGTCTCAAACTCCTGACCTTAGATGATCTGCCTGCCTTGGCCTCCCAAAGTGCTGGGATTACAGGCAATGAGCCACTGTGCCCGGCTGTGAAATAAATTTATTTTTTTTTTGGAAATTACCCAGCCTCGGGAATTTGTTTTAACAAAGGAACTAAGACAGAAAGTTGGTACCAAGAAGTGGGGTTGTAACTACAATGAACACCTGAAAGTGTGTAAGTGGCTTTGGAACTGCATAACAGGTGAAGGCTGAACAAATCTGGAGGAGCAGGCTAGGAAAAGCCTGCATTGCCAAGGACCGCTCTGCCACTAGGGGCAATTCTGGTGAGGGTGCTGAAAGAAGACCTCAGAACTAGGGGAAGTCTAAATCTTCGTAGAGATTACTTAAGTGTTTGTGACCAGAGTGCTGGTAGAATGCTGGTAAAGGCCATTCTGATGAGGCAGCAGATGGAAATGTGGAACAAGGTATTGGAAACTGGAGTAAAGGCCATATCTATAAAATATACAGTTGCAAAGAGCTGGGTGAAATTGTGTCCATGTCCTAGGACTTAATGGAATGTAGAACTCAAGAGGGATGAACTAGGATATTTGTAGAAGAAACACCTAAGCAGCAAAGCAATGAGGCTGCTGGATGGCTACTTTAAACTACATATAGTGAGATGTGATAGCAAAAGAATGACTTAAAGATGAAATTTGCAATGAAAACAGAAGCAGAATGAAAAGATTTCGAAAATTCACAGCCTGGCCAGGTAAAGAGTGAAAATGTATTTGGAAGAGAATAGTAAGGGTGTGGTCAAGCAACCATTTGCCAAAGAGATTAGTATGAATGGGAAGTAGCCAGATTCTATGCATCAAAATGATGGGAGAAAGACCCAAAAAAGCATTTCAGAGATCTTTGAGGTTGCTCCTCCCATCATAGGCCCAGAGATCTAGGAGGGTAGAATGCCTTTAGGGGACAGGCCTAGGGCACCCTTCATGGGCTCACTGCCTCTAGTCTCTGCTTCCTGCATCCTGGTGCAGCACACCTTGGCCACCCCAACTGTGGCTTCAGTTGGCCTAGGTGTAGCCTAGGCTGCAATTCTGAAGGGCACAAGCAGTATACCTTAATGGTCTCTGTGTGGTGCTAATTCTGTAGGCATGCAGAATACATGCTGTGGAAGCATGGCTTCCTCCACCTAGATTATGAAGGATGCCACAGACTGTGCAGAAGCTCAGCCCAAGACCTACCAGAGCGGAATACCAGTGCAGACAGTACCTACCACGGCAGTGTTGAACAGAAATGCGGGGTGAAGCTGCCAAAGAGAGTCCCCACTAAGGCTGTGCCTAATGGAAACACAGAATTGGGGCTATCCCAGAGAACCCAGAACTGTAGAGCCATGAGTGTGCAACACTAGCCTGGTAATGCTGCAGACACAAGACTTCAACTGACAGAGCTGAAGTCTGGGCTAAGCCCAGCAAAACTGTAGAGGCAGGGCTGCCTGAGGCCTTGGGGGCCTAGCCTTAGCCTCATTGTATTCAGAAGGCAAAACATGGAGTCAAAGGAGATTCTTCTCCAGTTTTAAGACTTAATGTTGTTTACCCTGTTGGATTTTGAACTTATCTGGGACCAGTTACCCCTATTTTCTTGCCTGTTTCTCTCTTTTGAAGTGGGAATTTCTACCCTGTGTCTGTCCCACCATTATATTTTGAAGTATTGTAGAAAACTTGTTTTGATTTCACAGCCTCAAAGCTAATGCAATTTGCTTTAAATTTTTCCTTGCATCTCACCCATATCTGGTTTAGGCAAGACTTTGGACTTCAGACTTTTGAGTTAATGCTGGAAAGAGTTAAGATTTTTGGGACCACTGGGATGGAATAAATGTATTTTTTAAATGAGAAGCACATGAATTTGGGGAGGTCAGAAGTGGAATGCTATGGTTTGAATGTGTCCAAACTTGGTTGCTATCATAGCAATGTTGAGAGGTGGGGCCTTTGGGAAGTGACTGAGTCATAAGGGCTCCATTCTGACGAATGAGCTGATGCTATTGAGGGAGTAAGTTAGTTATCATTGAGGTTGCTTTGTTATAAAAGCGAGCTCTCTCACATATGCTCTCTTGCCCTTCCACCTATCTGACATGGGATGACTCTCACCAGATGATGGCACCATGCTCTTGGACTTCCCAGCTGCCAGAACTGTGAGGCAAACAAACTTATTTTCTTTATATATTATAAATAATATAATACTGGGTCTATAACAATTTACATATTATAGACCCAGTCTATAATTTGTAAGACTAAGACAACTTGATATTATTGATGTTGATCATAACAGCTAACAGTTTTTGAGTGTTAACCATGGGCTGGCTCTAACGTCCACTGCTTTATGTTTCACAATGGTCCTGGGATCTGCTAGTGTAATTAATTATTGCTCCCCTTTTGCAGATAAGAAAACCAAGGCTTTCAGAGGTTAAGTAACTTGCCAAAAGCCTCATAATGAATGTGATAGAAACTAAGGCAGTTTGTCTGTTGAGCTCTCATTCTTTCTTAGCCACTATGGTCTGCTTTCTTGGCTATTAGATTCCCAGCTTAAACCTTCTGCTATTTAGCAATCGATATCAAACAAATGTTCCAACTACAGCTTTGCTGAAACTATTATTCTTTCAAATGAAACCATTTAGTGCTTGGATGTGCTGGCCTACATATTTACAAGCATAAGGGGAAAGTTCAGAACATATTCAGTCTACAAAAGAAATAATTTATCATTAAGTTCAAGCCCTACAGTGAATCTTTTTTTTTCTTCTAATGAGCAAGGGTGTCCACCACGTACTAACATCATGCTCCTAAAAACATGGTCTAATCACCTTAAATGACGTCCATGAAAATGTTTGGTCTGAAAATGAAGACCCACTATAATGTGGGTTATGATTACTATGGTACTGACAGCTCACCATATTGGTGGCTCTTTTGAAGGGCTGATTTATTAAATACTTAGCTGTAAAGTACTTGTAAATACATCACAAGTGTTTAAGTAGTGCTGTTCAAGGGAGCACTGCATTGGTAACTACGTCTACCCATAAATAGAGCACAGAGAAAAATATATAAGGTCAGGCTACCACTCTAAGCGTAGTCAAGTAACTCAACTGAGTGACTAGAAAGCAAGGATAACAGACTAAGCCCAAAACTCAAGAAACAAAGGGCACCAAGTAAACCAGGACGCAAAGGCCTTTGGGCTTTCTTCTTAAAGAAGAAAACCAAGCTTCACTTTCCCTTTATTCTTCTTTCTCCTTTTCTGAATATCCACAATGCAATTCCTTAGTTTGCATTTTCCAAACTTTCCTTAAATTCACACTTTATGTTGCACCAGCTAAGAACATAAAAATCGGTAACTGAGTTCTCAGTTCTGCTTTGAGAGTGCTTCTCATTCTATTAACTTATCACTTCACTGCCTGCTTAGGGAAAGGGGGGCAGGAGGCAGCTCATACTCCACAAGCCAACAGAGGGCTCTACACCCTGCAGTCATCTCATTGGTTTTCCTTTTTTTTCTCTCTCTCCCTTTTTTCCTTCAATTATTTTTATTTATTCATGTGAACACCTGATGTAGGCTTGTTTTCAGGGTAAGATCCTAATGCTGTAGACCTAGAAAGGCTTTCATACCCTACTACATCAAGTTAAGAGTTATTTTTAAATAAAATAATTCACCTTTCTTGTTTGTTAATTTCCCACACTCAGAATATGTTACTTTGTGTAACCATTAAATGACCATTTATAGATTTACATATGAGGATTTCTGGTGTTTGATTGTAGCCTCCACTTCCAAGGTAATCAAATAGCCCCTACCTGCTTTGATTTTTATGCTTCAAATTGCTAGAAGAGTAAGGAAGAGAGGGAAGGGTGGGGGGAGAGAGAGAGAGAGAGAATATAGTCTTTCCTAAGTAACTTTAATTTGGGGAGAAAATGGCAAGACAAAAGTTACTTGGAATACTAAAAAATCAGGAGATGATTTGAGAGGTCAGGGGCCCCTCTTGGCCATATGGAACTCTCAAAGTGAGGCATGTGCACTCATAAAAGTGGATGGATGTTGACTGGGTTGGGATGATAAGCACTTGGTCTCAATGGACTTCAAAAGTAGGAATGTAAAGGCCCCAGTAAAGTCAACAGAGTGGCTGGTAAGCCTTCTCCCTGCGTATTCACCCCTCTTTCACTCTTATTTACAGATTCATTATTCTGAGTTTTCTTTTCTCCCAAACTTTATAAACAAATGCACATGGACCAAAGGAGATAGTTTATTAAGGTGCCCACCACAGAGCCTGGACCCAAAGTTCTTCTGCTTATCAACTTATAATAGAACATGTTCAATACAGGACTGCGAAGTGAGTGACTAGCCCAACACTTCTTCCATCTCTCCTCTGGTGACTGGGATTCTTCTTGACACTGGCCAGCCCTGTCGTAAATCAATCCTTGACCCAAGAGTGCACGCCCAGGGAATGGCCACCCCACCTGCATTGGCCTTGCACCCAGAAGGTCTGGGTTTGTGTCCAAGTTCATCACTTATAATCTTTGGGATACTGGATAATTTTTAACCTTGGAAGTTCAATTTCTCTGTTTATAAACCATACCAAAGAATTATTGAAGGAATGGAATAATGTGTACAAATGTCTGACCCATGTCAAAATAGCTCACAACTGGTCCAGTTAAAGAGTTAAACCGTCTGCCTACATGTTTATGGCAACCAACATGCAGAACAACAGAACGGACTTCCTAGTTTATCTAGGTTTCAGTTTTCTGTACCAGTGTCTATTACTCCATCCTCATATTCCCAGAAAGGAGGAAATTACGACACC